GCAGTTTTCTTATTGGGCAGAACCAGAGAACATTTTTGGCCGACATTCTAACTCTGTTTCTCCTCAATGATAATAATGCTATGATTAAAAAATAGTGCAAGAAAATTGCAAATTTATTTTTCCCTCCATTTAAAAATCTTATAATAACATTACTGATAATTCTATAGATTAGTGGTCGCCAAGTGGGAAAAAATTCTGATGGTTCTCAGAAAAATTGGGACATTATGTATATATTTTTATGAAAATTCAGTTTCAAAAATGACGAGAAACAAAAACGCATTATAGAATATTCTTTTTTAAAAGTATTTTAGCTGCTACTTTTAGCGAAGTTTCCTCTAACTTTAGCGACATTGGTGGCATATTTAGCTACATTTAAAAGCGAGATTTGACAGCTGTGGTAATTTGGCAGCATAACAGTTCGATTTGTTGATATTGCTTTGCATTGTCGGTTTGAGAGCTTTTTTAAAAAATTTTCTTTTCAGTGATATAGAAATGCAAATAAAGACGTGAGTAAGTGAGAATATATAGTTATAGTGTACTTTATAAAGATTTAAAATAGCCATCTTGTGTGTGTGTGTGACTATAAGTTGACAAACGTACGTTCAAGGTTTCAAGAAAGTGAGATTTTTTTTATTTTTCAATGTGAACGAAATATGTATATCAGTGAGATGTTAATAGTCGTTTAATTGTACCTCATAACATTTAAAGCTGTGTATAACATAACAAAATAAAACTTTTCAGATTATTACTATGTGACGAATCTGTACGGCACTTTATCACTAATACTCTTGAGCATCCTTGAGGATCGTAAATTCGCGTATATTTCCAACCAGCTCTAAAAGGAGAAAACGTGATATGCAAATGAATCAAAGTATATAGGGAGAGTGCTGTAGGTTAGCGGGGAAGGGGCTATTGAGCCAAGAGATACATTGACAGAGTTCTAAGAATATTCAAGTTGATTGTGTGATTAGTTTCTGGCTGATTATCAGGCAGTGATCTACATTTGGAAAGGTTGAGCCGACTGGAAAGGAGTGAAGTAGTAAAAGTCAGGTGATATTTAAAATACAATTATTGGATAGTGTAAGAGTAAATATATAATAGAGTTAGTGGAAAGTTAATGATTGCTAGTAATTCAAATTGCGTATATCTCTCGGTCTTCTTATTGGGGGGGTCCCACAACTATATAAATGCATTTACCTTTTCTTCCTAAGTTCATATTGGGGGTTCGCCAAATGTAAAATTGCATATTTAGTAGTACATGACATTCTAAAGGTTGACAATCGCTACTATGGACCGTTACAATAACATTTAACGTATTCTTTAAATTTACCTATTTTAAAAATGTACAAGCTAATATTTATATTCAGAAGCGGATTGTACTCCTTTCACGACTTTATCGTTACTTAGTGCACATTTTAGGAGTTAAAGGGATTGGACGAAAATAACTCGACGTTATTCGAAAAACGCACGAGTGCGAATTTAATTGGCGAAACGAAACTTTCGATGGAAAAGTGAGTGGGAATGGTTTGGGTATTTACAACCGGAAGAGCTTTAAAATTGCTTTTTAAAAGAAAGCTCTCGGTTATAACGTTGCGGAAAGCTTATTAACAAAACTGTATGGAGCTGTAATTATAGAAGGAGTTCAAGTGAAGCGGTTGTTGTTGACTGCTAGTGAAAAGTTGATGGAAAGTCAATATTATGATGCTGTGCCCTCTACACTTGCTCTTAGTTATCTCTTAAAACAACACTTATGTTCTAGGAAATATCAGGGTTCAAGTGTAATGTTAACGCACATCATCATTTTGACGTAGGGGTATGTATGGGAACTTGCGCAGTGGACAAGTCTGCAAGCCATGAATGAATCTTGCTGGATAACTAACTCTATGAACCATTTCATCCCTTTCCGACGATGCATTACTGATGAGAGTGAGCATACCATCGCACGAATGAGGTTATATCATCAGTAAATAATCAGTAACGCTATTCATGCTGGCATTCAATCGTGCCGTAATAAAAGCCTTGTCCATAATTATATTGCTTAACCCGAATTATATTATACATTTTGATAAGTATGTGCGTTGAAACAAATTATAAAATCGAGGATGGGGAATTTTTTAATAGAGGGAAAGATTCGTGATTTTTTTGTAACAATACAATCAATTCCAGATAACAACATGCGTACTATGTACAGGTAATGAAAATCTTCCTACGCTTAAAGTAAGGTAAAACAAGTAAAAGTCAACACACACAAAAAGTCACACACAATCCCTACTTGGATCAACAAAGAAAAATTTTATTTTAGCTACTTTTTATTAAATAGTTACAATTAATATAAATATGTATATACATAGGACAGAATCACAACATTAAGTGGTAATTAATTTTTATTAATTATCAGTAAAGTATCGTATTGTTATCCAAAACAATCGTGTATATAAAATTTCAGTTTAACTGAATGCTTTAGAACGTGAGAAAAAAAAAACCTTTTCAAGTTTTGACACAAGTCGCCAAAAATGATGCCAATGCGGCTGTATTTGTAATTCTTTAAATAATTAGTTTTAATCAATTAATTTTTATTAATTATAATTAAATTATTATATTTTCATCCGAAATGATCATGTATGTAAAATTTCAGCTCAATTGAGCGCTTTAAGATGTATTTTACAAACGATTGAAAATTCCATCACAAGATAAATAAATAAATAAATCTATAGAGAGTGTGAGCTAATAGTAGGAATTGAAAAAAACTCCTATAAATTGTGTATTGTTTACGAATAATTGTAAAAAGGGTATGTGGTTTTAACTTTGTAAATCAGTTAAATTACTTATGAATATAAAAAATGTTTTTTACAAACTATCCAAATTTGTAATCTGTTCTCTTTTTGTATTTATTTGTGTAAAATTCAGGGTTTATAAACGAATAACAAAGATATAAAACGGGATATTTGTATTTTTTTAAAAAAAACTTAACGTTATATTTTATTTTTATGGAATTTTTGTATATTTGCATATTGCGTGTAATGTTAAATTAATGGGAATTACATCATAATCTCTGTTTTCGTTTAAACTGGGGGAAAATACATTAAATTACATTTACATGATTTTATATAATTTTCTTTGTGAATTAAAATTGTTAACATAATAACTAATTTTCTGTAGCATTGATTATTATGATTTCCATTCATTGTTTAAAAGTTCGAAATGTTTTGAGTGACAATGAAGTTATTTTAATTTATTTATTGTTTTTGACTGCGTAATAGTTTTTAATGGAACACTGAAATGATCATTTTCTTAAAAGTTAAATGATTTGTATCTTCTATTTTTTCCTTCAACGCAAGGAATTTCTTGAGTATGACTTAGAATGTCACGTAAGGTTATTTGTCATTTGGTTATTGTCAAATGCAAGTAATATAAAAAAGATTAAAAATCTCTTGAGCTTGTGTTTCCTTTAAAAAGATTAGGTATTGGCATAAATAAAAAATAAGTTGTTTATCCTTTACATGTTGTTTTTATGCCAAAAAAAATTGTTTTGTGTTATTTTAATTCTTGGAATAGATTGTTTTAAGATAAAAGAATTTTTTTGCGAATACCTTAATTTAATTTCCTTTCATATATATTTTTGTGGGGGGAGGGTGAATCTGAATATTATTTTGTGATTCAGATAATCCTAAAAAAAATCTTTCTCAGATAAATAAGAAGAAAAAGAAACGAAAATTCGTGAAGAGTTGCCCTTGTAACGCTTCCATAAAGAATGCAATAAACTTTTCCCTGAGGATCTATTATTCTCCCTTCGAAAGCTTTTAAATAAACACTCGAGGTATAAAATCTATCCTTCCGAACAAAAGCAAAACTCTGGAATTTCTGGAGGCATCTGAAAGTTTGTGGACATGGAATCGTAAATATCCATAAATCCGTTTATGGCCGACATTGACGGAACTTTAAAGCATCCCGTTATAAATCTACACACTATACCCTTGACTGAAGGTTCAATCCAATAACATAATTAACAATGGGATCGCAAGAAAGACGATATAGAGTTGGTCAGTGGCTGCGGAATCGTGACGTCAGGTACCATTGTTCGCCTTGTGTAGCGTGCGTGCGCTGATGTATTTAGACGTTTTTGTCCTGTCTCTGCCAGGCGAAATATACTTTCTGGCCACGAAAAATCGCATGCTTCGACCACAATTTGCTCCCCCCCTCACCCCTCACCCAACTTTTTTTTTCTACAAAAACAGTAGATTTTTTCTTTTCTTTTTGCATTAAGGCATTTGACGGTGATGTGTTTCAACTGCGAAAGGTGGTATGCGTTCTGTAAATATCTGATGGATGATGTGAAGTTCTTCCCTGACAGTGAGGAAATTCTTTTGGTGAGCTTGACAACTCGTAAATAGTTCCTAGAAGTTGATCTATATATTATTGTTTTTAGATAAAATAGGATTTGCTTGGAATTTTAAAAAAAAATTACTTTTCTCTAAATATTTGTTGTTTAAACGTCTAACGTTTCCTAAGCGGAATTATTTGGTTTCGCTGTTTTAGATATGTGTGTTTTTAGGACATTCCATGTCCACACAATTAAACATTTGCATGATTCTGTAAACATCAAGAAATGGATCGATTTTTCATTATAATCTTTATATTGATTGGTTTGTTAAGGAAACTTTTTATTTTTTGTTATTTATGATGTTTTTCACTTCCTACTATTAGTTCACTCTCTCTCATATATATATATATATATATATATATATATATATATATATATATATATATATATATATATATGATATAGATATATATCTTATTCAAATTTTCAATCGTTAATAAACTATACTTTCTATTCATACATTCAAGTTCAAATACAATTTTTTGAACTTTTATCGGATGACACTTGATGTTAATACAATTTTTCAAATATTAATTCATTAATTAAATTTAAAAAAGAATAAATCGTATAACAAAAATAATAGTCCAACAGCATTATAGAAAGGAAGATTTTTCGTTGTGTCCTTGTAGCGCAATGGAAAGCGCGTTGGACTTCTGGGCCAAGAGTCGTGGGTTCGAATCCCACCTGGGATGGTCTAATTTCTGAGAATGTGATTTCCTTTTCACTGTAATATTTTAATAGAAAAATTTAATTTAATTAATGAATAAATAGTAACAAACACAAAAAAATAGTCCAACACCCTATATACAAAAGAAAATGGAAATTGCAAAGAAAATCGTTTTCTATTCTGTCACTTAATATTGTGATTCTGTCATATGTTTTTACATATTTATATTAATGGTAACTATTTAATAAAAAGTAACTAAAATAAAACTATTCTTTGTTAATGTAAGTAGGAATTGACTTTTTTTTATATATATTACTTGTTCTTTTATTTTGAACGAATACTTATTATAAATATCTCTATATATACAACAACATATTTACGTTCTTGTTTTAAAATAATTCTTTAAAAAATATTTTGCCTTACAATACTAAAGAATCTGGACAAGAAACGTTATATTTTGATTGGTTTACCTCATCCTTTTCTGAATCTGATGATGGATTGTGAATAAGTATTTACTGACACCTTGAAAAAGCAAGAATTTCCTTTGGATGTTTTGTTCTCTTATAAGGAACTAGGAAAGTTAACTTCTCTCTTTTCAACCGGCACTATTCGTACGCAAAAAAGATATATAGCTGCGGATAATAAACTTGCATTTCTATCGAATGGCGTTAAGTTCCGGGAAAAATGGTATTTAAAATAATATATTTTGTGAAAATAAACTATTAAATTCACTGATGCAGTTGATTGAACTTCGAATAAATTAATTGTTTTCTGATCAGGAAATCAGAGTCTGAAATAGTTTGTCAAAACCTCTGAGTTTAATTGGATGAGTAATTGAGGAATTCGTGTTTTTGTAAAGATATTTTTTTTTCTCTTTTATTACCGTCACAGGTCTTTTCATTATTTTTGTGAAATTTTCCTCTGCAGTTTTTGTGATTGCTTGATTACAAAAACTACACAAAAATTTGTATTTGTGTTGAATACTCGTTTTTTTAGTTTGTGTGTGTTGCAAGTATGATATTTGTTTAGTAAGATGAATTCTGTGTGTATCTCGGTGAAAATTCGTTGGCAAAGTTTTATTTAATCATTTTTCTGAAAAACTAAATTTTAATAATTTAAAAAAGTGGTCTTCAAATTTTTTGTTATGAAACACCTCGATTGGGAAGATAATATTTTACTTACCTCCTATTCATTTATTGTATACATAGGGACTGTCTTTGGGTATTGTAAATTCTTTTTACTGAGCTGCTCATATGAACTTTAATCGACTTCAGTTTCTATTCCCGATCTGAGCAAAAATTGTTTTCTGCAAAACCGATCCTTCGAGAACTATTGAAAGATTTTGCCAGTGGTGTAACGGAAAACATTAGGGCTCTCCTGCAAAGTCAGGTTTTGGGCCCCAAATCGGATCCTACAAAATCTTATATACTTGGTGTTAATCAGACTTTGAGCCTCCTAGAACCCTGGCCCCCCTCCCGGCAATGCGGGGGTACACGCTGCGCGATTGGATTTTGCACTTTAATCTTGAGTTGAAAAAAATGCCTTTCCTTATACAGTACTGAGTTTTGCATAATATTTTGCTTTTAAAATGTAAATTAAACTGGATTTCACATTTGAAAATTTGAGTCACAAATGTTTATTTGTGTTTTCATTTTTTATTTTTATTCCATGCCTATGAAACTAGTCTTGTGAGACAAGTTCTTGTAAGGCCCGTTCCTTAATATGCATCATGGCCCAACGGTTTTCTTAATTAACTCTTAAATTCTACCATGAGATTGCGAGGTTTGTGTTACCTATGACTAATCCCTGAGAAATAAAAGGAAAACTTTCCAACAGGATGGGTTACTACATTTTTGTGGATGGGGTGGTACGGGTTTTCCATCATATGTGTAACATTCCTGCATGAAAATCCAAACACGTCACGAGTTTAATTGTTGTATCAAGATTGAATTATCTCTTTAAGGTTCAATACACACGGAGCGTATCTTTCTCAAGAATTTTGTTCAGACTTTTTAATATCAAAAATCTGCATCTCTTTCCGTTCTGGAAGCAAGATTATCTTAATACATAAAGGAATGTGGTGTTTCTTTTAAGATTTACGCATTCTTTATGAAAGGTATGCACAATTTATTAAGACGTTTTTTCATGTTCTTCATATCAGTAATCTAAAAGAATACGATAGGAATTTTATTTTATCAGATCGGTTATTCTGTAATATAGATTTCTTTTGAAGTTATGGTTCTTTTTGCGCGTTAGGGAAAAATGATGAGGGTAAATTTTTACGATGCGCGGGCACACCGTTGTCTAAATTTTAACATGCCACTTTTTTGGTGCTAGGGAACTGATATTTGGGGGATCGTAATAACTATTGTTATAAACCATAACTGTTGGGACGCATCCCCCCCTCTACAGCTTTTGTCCAATATCTCGGCACCTGAGACTCACAATCCTTTCGGACCTGGCTCATTCGATCCCTCTTTATCTGCTCTTCCAATTATTATAATTTCATGCTCATTTGGGTTATTTCTTCCATTGTTTTTAATTGTTTAAAACTTTTTAAATTTGTTTAAATTCACAATATCTTGACTACTGTATCAGTCTCGGACTTGAGATTTGAACCAACTATTTCACTCGTCGAGATCCATCCTGTCATCTACTTCATTCCCATTGTGTAGGCATGGGGAGGGTTTAAGCACTAAAATATCATGCTTCCATGTTATTTTTAAATTAAAATTTATCTGATTGTATAAATAATATATTTTTAATAGCATTTACTTTAAAAGGACTTAATCCTGCTTTTATTTTGATAGCTTATTTCTTTTTGAAAAAAAAAGAACGTGTGTTTCACACAGTTTGATCAGATTTTATTTTTTTACGTTTAAAATAATGTGTATCAGGATACTGGATAACTTTTGAGATCTAACTATAAAAAAGTAAAATTGTTTTCATTCTAATGTAATTGAGGGTGTGTCTTATTAGTTTTGTTAATTATTATTTTTCTATTTCACCAATTGTCTGTTGAATGTACATTAGGAAAAGCTTATTCTTACTTATTATAGTTTATTGAAAAGTGAACGAAGGAATTGAACCCATTTAGTGGTGCACATAGGAATATTTGAAGAGGGGGGAAGGGGCTGAGGTTTGAAAGTCCACCATTCTCGTATCATAACCCAATATGCCACCAAACATATTCTTTCGATTTTGTCGGTTGTCGAAAACAAAAAACAGTAAATATTAAATTATTGAATAAATAATTAGCATTAATTAATAAAATAAATTATTAATAACAAATATTTAAGTTAATTAGTATACTTAATTAAACAAGTAGTAGCACATAAGAGAGGTTCTGGATGCCCCCTCCCCCCGTCCTTGTGTGCGCCATTGAGCCCATTGAAATAAGTGTTTGATTCAGGTAATCAAATAATGTACACATTATTATTTCTGTTCTACAAGTATCGCAACACGTATTCGTAGAAATGTTGAAATATTTTAAGTGAAGTAATGTATAAAATGTCCGAATCGAAGGACAAAGGAATTTCATTGGAAAAATCCAACACCTGAATTACAACCTGATTCATGTTGTGAAAATTATATAACTGTGAAATGGAACAATAGTTCCTTTTAATTATTTATTTATTTTTGGTTTCTGTATATACATACATATCTAATTTTATTTAAACGCGTTCAGTACTCGTGGAGGTAATTATCCAAAAGTATAAAATCTTAGTTTTGAACAGCAGTGTAGAGAGTAATATGATCATGTGTAAATTAAATATGGGTAAGAAAATATAGATTCTAATTAAAGCCTCGCTTATATTTTCGAACTATATTTTAGAATTTTATAGAGTTTTAACACTTTGAAGGATACCTTTATGTTGTATATCATTAATATACAGGGTGTCCGGGCTTAAAGTACCCAAAAGAAATGGCTTATTAAAACGGAACTACCTATCAGAATGTAATAAACTGTTCATCCATGGATTGGAAAACTCTCCGAGATTTTTTGGATCTAGTCCGATCGGCCGCACGTGCGCGCATTATTCGGTCATCGCAGACGATAAACGTTTTACACTATTTTCATTAGTAAAGATTTGGGCGCCACAGCAAAAAGTGCAGTGCGTACTTTGATTAACGAAATTTAAATCAGTCACGCTTGCACAGCGATGTGTTCGAACAGAATGGAATGTCGACCCTCCGACATCAAAATGGGAAAGAACTTTAAAGGAGACGGGAACTTTGATATCTCAAACTGGCACAAGTATCCTTAAGTTTTCATGATAGAAGACTGCTGATCGTGTACGTGATTCATTTTGTAGGAGTCCTGATAAGTCTATTAAGCAAACCAGTAATGACTTTCCATTATGTTCGAACACTTCGCTGCACACGCGTGACTGATTTAAATTCCGTTAACCAAAGTACACACTGTATCTTTTACTGTGGCGTCCACATCTTTAAAAATGAAAATACTGTAAAAAGTTTATCGCCTACGCGATTGCTGAATAATGCGAGCACGAGCGGTCGATCGGACTGGACCCCAAAAATCTGGGAGAGTTTTCCAACCCATGGATGAACAGTTTATTACATTCTGATGGGTAGTTCCGTCATAATAAGACATTACTTTGGGATACTTTAAGCTGGACGCCCTGTATAAACGAGTATATATAGTTAAAAGAAAAAGAATCTGGTAAAAATATTTAAGAAGGAAAAAAAGAAGCAAAAAAAAAATAATAACTGATTCCATACGTTTTAGAAGAACCACATTGATTCAATAATAATCACACCTATTAAATTAAATCCTTTTCTTTATTAATCAGTTAATTTCGTATTTTGCTTTTCACGTTCGATCCATGTACTACTACCTCAAGTGTTATTAAAAGTGTTGATTTATCAACGTTCACTGGATTTTTTTAAAAAAATAGTGGTTTATTAACATTGCACTCCAAAATACGCTAATGCCGACGGTCCTCGTAATTTTGAACAGCGGTGAAATGAGGAAAATGATATTTGAATCGAAAGTGTTTATCT